GAGAGAAAAGTAACCAAGACAACATCCAAACATGAATATCTCTGAGGAGGTGTCCTTGCCTCAGTGTCCGCTGGGGCTGGCTCTGCAGCCCAGCTTCCCCTCTGCCCAGTCCTGCTTCCTCTGCACCTTGCCTGTTCCAGGAGCACTTTTTGAAAGACCTGTCCACCCCTCTCATCCAGAGTCTCTCTCTCAGGGAGCCTGGTCAGTGTCACTCAGTTTCCTCATGGGTGTGCTGGGATAGTCACATTTTGGGAGGATTGTGATGGTTAATCTTGATGGTCAACTCAACCGGACTGGGAAACACCAAGAAATTAGTAAAGCACACTTTTGCCTGTATTTGGGGGAGTGTTTCAGAGACACATGGGTCATCAAATTGATGGGAGAGACCTGCCCTGAATGTTAGTGCACCATCTACAGGGTGGAGGCCATTAGAGAACAGAAGCAGAACAGAGAGAAGCTTGCTAGCACAGGCTCTGTGGCTCTCCCTTCTATTTCCCTGCCTGTATGAGCAGAACAGATGTGCTCCACTACATCCTTCTGCCAGGATATTTCTGCTTCATCACCAGCCTGAAAGCAATGGAGCCAGTGACCATGGGCTGAAACCTTGGGCCAAAATAACCTTTGCCCCTTTAATTAGTTTTTCTCTGGTATTGGGCCTCCGTCACAGAGTGACTAACACAAGGATTACCTAAAGTTTTACCTAAAACATACTCAGAACCATGCACTGGTACATAGCAAATGGCCTCTGTCAGTCATTATTATAGAATTAAGTCTCTCAGAACACTTATGTGGACCCAACCTGCACCCCCAGTTTTATTGTGCATCCTTCTGCTTCCCACACGTCATGCACTAAGTAAGCTTGGTTTGCTCTTGGTAGTTCTCTCACATTCTGCACATCTCAGGCCTCTTCCTTCTGCCTGGAATGCTGTTTTCCCCAGTGCTTTGTAGGCCGCTTTCGCATGCCTGCCAGTCTCCCACTGTGCACGACGCACCCTCCCCCAGGGTCTACAGACAACCAGGTAGATATTCGCACCAGGGAGAACAGGTCTGACTAATGCTCTAATGCCCTCAACAGATCATAAACTCCCTATGGTGACACTTCAGAGCTTTCAATGATAACACATGGCTGGCTGCGGCATGCATGCCATAGGTTCCCCACCCCTGCTTAGGTCATGTTGGTTTCTGTATTCATGTTGCTCTGGCCATCTTAGGTATTCATTAAAAAATGGGAATCAAATGAAATGTTCACTACAAATACTGGTCATTCTTTATTAAAAGTGCTCCTGGGAATGGCCCTGTTACAGGGAAACCACCCATGTAACACTGCCTTCTTCTGAACAAAATGAGACCCCTGCCAAAAAAAGAAGGGAAGGTGGGTTTAGGAAATTCTTTGAGAATTTAAATTATTTTATGTGATTAGCTGTAACCTATATAGCTTACTGAGGTTTGATATGGCCAAGGAATTAGGATAAGGACTTTACATCTCCACTCTCAGTAAGTCATGGTCTTTCTGGAAGTTATGGTAGATTCTTTTTTTTTTTTGGTTTTTCTCCGGTACCAGGAACCGAACTCACGACCTTGCGCTTGCCAGGCAGGCGCTTTGCTGCTGAGCTAAATCCCCAGCCCCTTATGGTAGATTATTTAACTAAACATAGGACAGCAGAAGGTAAGCAAAGTCTGGTAAAACAGAAAGATTTGGGGATTCAAAGCAAAAAAAAAAGTTAGTAAATAAAAACAAGACTACAGTACCGGGATTTTACATGGCTGCTTAGAAAGCATCCAATAATACACTGGAACATATCATCAGAGAGAAACTGAAGGCATGTTTTATAACATTTTTCAAAAGCTGTATTTTAAAATAAGTAAAAACAAACATAGTGGGGCAGTGGTGCTCATGCAACCACTTGTGAACAGAGCTCTTTCTAAGACACCAGCACTCTTCATAGGCATTGCTCAGGCCGTAGCCAGCTGCTCCCCACTCTGGAGGAGGAAGTTCACCTCCAGCTTGACTAACACAGCCAGCCAAGGCCTGCCTGACGATGACCTGAAGAAACCAGGTGGAACAGGGGACACCTGGAAGTGTTCCTGTGTGTTGTTGGGGGAGGGAGATCATTAAGATGGAGATGATAAATTCCAAAGCAAGGCTGCATGTAGAAGGAATAGATGAGATAAGTTGAGGTCTTTAGTCATCTGTGGTCCTCAGAGCTTCTCTTAAATGTGAGTAGTTGCAAAAAAAAAGTCCAAGAGCTCCAGTGGCCTGTCCCGTGCCACCAACGGCTGGCCGTGATCCAGGACTCCTTGCCATGCAGACTCCGTCTCAGCAGCAAGGCGGACTCTGCCTCCAAAAAGGGGAAGCCTCAGCTGTGGAAGTTGAGGCAACACCATGAAATAACGAAGCCACGGCTGCCGGGCTCTAAAGGAAGCCTCTGGAATCCCAGGTATCACTCCAAAAGAAAATGCTGTTTTTCTGATTAAGGAAGCAAAAATTTATAGAGGAGTGCTGAGCTTTCAAATGCATGTGTTTCTTTAAGAAACTCTCCTTTCTCCTGAAATGCTTTCCAAATGAAATTAATCTCCTTTTAAAACTGCTGGGGAAAAATATATATAGAT